ATGGATACAGAGACAGAAAAAAAGGCAAATGGACAGAGGGACGGACGGACAGACAGACGGATGGGCAGACATACAGATAGATAATTGTAGATGGATGGATGGATGGATGGATGGATGGATGGATAGATAGATAGATAGATAGATGGATGGATGGATGGATGGATGGATGGATAGATAGATAGATGGATGGATGGATGGATGGATGGATCAATGGACAGGCATACATACAGAGGGACGGACAGAAAGAAAGATGGATGGACAGACATACAGATGGATGGATGGATGGATGGATGGATGGATGGATGGATGGATGGATAAACAGACAGATACAAGACTGTAACAAATATTATTCATCTTCTCAGACATGTTTATTTGTCACTGAACCCACAATGTATACTGAATTAGTGAATGCAGTGTGTTGTGTTTCAGTACCTGGCGGTTTCTCTCCACTCGGCATCCTCCCCTTCACGCAGACAGATCTCATCCAGCTCAGTGAAGAGGTCATGCGGAATGTGCTCTTCATCATCATCCTCAGTGCCCAGCAGAAACTGAACCCTCTGAGACGGAGTGTCTGCAGCAAAGCAAGTAATACAATTAGAAACATATACTATGGGGCTTTCGAATACTAGTTTCTGATTGGTTGATGGATATTCAAAAGTGTGCCATTATTTTCAAATAAACGCACAGCTAAAGTAGTTCCGGCTGAATCAGTTCAGTTATTTCACAGCTACAACAGTCAAAAATCACATCAATGCACAACTCAAGTCTTTGGATGAGATGTGGAAGAAACTAGTGCTACACATGAGAGCAGTTTAAGGACAAAAACATGACTAATGTATAAAATACAACATCTAAACAGCGGTTTTAGCTTTAAAATCATAAAGGAAATCAGGATGTTTGTAGACCCAGACTGAGATACATCACTGCCTTTTTTTTAATCAGCTAAGACTTGTTTCCAAGTGGACTGGTTAAGATTGCTGCACACTCAACTCCCAAAAATCCTGTATATTTAAACCAATCAGAGGATGACTGAGAAACTGCTGAAGTGTTTCCAGAAAAGTGTGCCGTATACCTCAGACGTTTAGCCACAGGTCAGTGGGCAGTTTTTGGTGTGACGTCTGAGGCTGAGAATACACATTGTTAGACTTAAACCTGTTCTGTAAATAGCATATATAATCATAAAGAGCAGGTGCTCTTTCTAGAAATCAGACTCATTGTGAGCTGCTATAAGGGCAATACTCAAGTATGAGCCTGTGGAGATCAGAGCAAACAAACCACAGAGAAAACATCAAAGACAGAAGAAAGCAGGACAAGCCGACAGAGAGAAGATGATGAAAGCAGACCGGGAAGAAAAAAGAGGCAGCAAATACAAAGAGAGAAGGATGACGGAAAAAAAAGATCACAACAAAAAATGATTTGCTTCCTCAGTATTTTTGTCTTGTTTTGTAGAACAGTGGTTCACAAATTGAGGTTCAGGGACCAACAGAGGGCCAAAAAACAGTGCTAGTATTGGGGGGTTGTGGAAATGTTTGGAGAAAAACCCTTAAAAATGTCAAAAAATTAATGTTAAATTGTATATGAATAATTAAATTAATAAAATTAGAACAAGATTTCAAAATTAATAAGAAAATAAATGCACACGTTAGTATTAAAAACACATAAAAATGTAAATAATAGTTAAATAATTGTCAAATTTACTCAAAATTATACGTTTTAATGAAAACAAAACAAAAGTAATGGCTTTTGAAGGTATCGTTAGAATCCCTCTGGTCAATTTGGGTTCTTTAGCTCAGCAAATTTAGCCTTCAGTCACCAATTTAAGGGTGAAATTTGACTCAGGTTTTAAATTTGACAATCAGATCGGAGCCGTAGTTAAATCTAGCTTTTTTCAATTACGACAAATAGCAAAAATAATGCAATATATTTACCCACTAAAACAACAGTTTAAGACAGTAATCCATGCTTTTATGACCACTCTGTTAGATTACTGTAATGCACTGTATGTGAGAAGTAGCAGGTCAGCTATTGCTCGTTTGTAAATGGTGCAAAATTGCCTGTTAAATGGAAACGCTGTTAACTTCCCCACCTAAAGCTTCGGTCACACTGGACCTTTCGTCCCATAGACTTCTATTCATATGCGCACAAATGCGTCAGACCGGAAACGCAAGCTTGTGCAACAAGTTTCCCAGTTTGCTGCATTGCACAGTTCAAAGTTGGTGAACTCTGATCTGCGAAATCGCATCATGTGACTGTGTGAGACCAATTGAAGATGAAAACATGACCTTTCTGTACAGAAATGTAAAATATGGATCAATCGCTCTCTTTTTTAATCTCTAATCATCTTGTTTAATCCCCTTGTTTGATCTGACAATATGTTTTGCTTGTCTAGAAAAAGCTTCTTGATTTTTTGACATTTGAACACTAAAAAAGACAAAAAGAAATTAAGAGAACCTTTTTTTGCAGTGCACTTGGTAAACAAGTCTTAACTATTATTTAGAAAGCATGATCATTTGGTTATTTACTGTATGAAGGCGATTCTCGTCCATCCTCAACTCCTGAGTCTCTTTCTCTGCTCCGCTTTCTGTGTCGGTGTCCGTGATGCCGATGGCGGCGGCGGGTTCTTCTTCCCAGAGGAACATGAACACCAATGTACAGAGTCCTGTGACCTATGAATAGAAAAGCAACATGCTAAATTATATTTTTAATTCTATCCATCCATACATCCATCCATCATTTTGTCAATTAATCACTTTGTCCGTCCTTCCATACAACACAACCATCCGTCCATCATTCATCTATCCATCCCTAATTTTGTCTACTCATCACTTTGTCCATCCATCCATCCATCCATCATTTTGTCAATTCATCACTTTGTC